CCGGATTCATTTTTAATGTTATTTTAACCTAAAAACATTGCTTTTTATGATTTATTTCAAAACTAAAATAAATTCACACTTGGAACATTAAAATTTCTATTTTATTCCTTCGAACTACTATAGGTGATATCCTTACGATTTTAATATATATATGGTTTATTCTTAAGTCATTACATATAGAAGAATCACTAAACAAGTACATTAATATATTAATGTAAACATATGGGGTTTTACACCTTCAAGGTCTAATAAGAAAGCACAACCCTTTATTATCCAAGGAGCACCATAGTGCAGATTTTTGGTCAACTTCATAGAATAAACTGATTTGACTCAGGTATTTCTAGGAGGTGTAACCTATATGGTTGGAAATATATACGAGTTAGGGTTCTAACAAAAATAACGGTGCACAATTCGGACTTTCCAATAAAGAGTTATGATGAAATTAGCGAAAGGTAGTCTGCCGGACAGATTTTTGGACAGTGTAGACACTACTTCGTAATATGGACATAACTCCTTCCTCCTAGTTCTGATTGAGATGATTCAAGGTGATATGGAATTCTAAGAGAGAGCTCTACAAATTTCATGTTTTAAGTTTTAAGAGATATGGACTGCATCAAGGTCGAAATCGAGCTTGATGTTACAGCCAGTGCACTGTTCATCCCTTTTTCATTCTACCAAATTCAAACACACATCACTACACATATCCCCATTTTTACAACAATTATTTACTATATATCTATATACATATATAAAAAAAAATGCGGGGTGTAACAGTAGCGCGTCCGATGTCACCCTTCTTGGCATATCAGACACCCTCGCCTCTTGTGCTTGATGCCCATTCTTTGCTAGAATTATCCCGTCGGCACCCTCTAACTTCCCTCACTATCATCTTCTTACTTCTCTCCGTCTCTTGGGAGAGAGCCTCCCGAGTGGCCAAAAGCTCAGCCAAACTCTACCTCTACTAGCACACAAGCAATCTCCCCAGTCTCTAGCTTAGCAGTTTTCTCGCGAGTTTTCAGAAGCTCGGCCTAACTCTTCTTCTAACCTTATGCAAGCAACCACAATTTCCAACTTAGTGGCTCTCCCATGAATCGTCAGAAGCTCAGCTTAATTTTGCTTCAGCTCATATGCAAGCAACTTCAATCTCTATTTTAGCAGCTCTCTTGCGAGTCGCCAAAAGCTCGGCCTAACTCTACCTCTGCTCTCACGCAAACAGCTTCACTCTCCAGCTTGATGGCTCTCTCGTGAGTCACCAGAAGCTCAGCCTAACTCTATGTCTACTGTCACGCAAGTTTTCACAATTTCTCATCAGAGTTCATTTGTTAAAAGAGGAAAATGACAAGATTTTTTATTGATACCCCTCTCTCCCAAATCCCATTGGGAATGACAGGTCGGGTCCATACCATGCCTAGAATTACAGATCAGGGCCAACTTAGAAATAAAAGCCAACAAAGACCAAACCCATTGCCTTGGAAAATTTAATGTACTAGTGACACACGTGAGATTTCCATCTTAGGAAAGGAATCAGTGTACGCTTTGCAAGCCTCAACTACCTTGTTCGTTATACCAACATCACGGAACCACCCACTCCCGTCACAAGGTTGACACCTTAATCAGGGCTCCCTACGATGACACCTCCATCAAAGCCCACTATGGTTCCATGAAGACTATACTCCTCCATAAATTGTAAAGCCTACCTACATATGGAGGTATTACACACATCTCAGCACACTACACTTATCAAGTAATATGATTTTCCGGCAACCCTTGTCATTCATTGTGGAGTACGTTACCCAGACCGAAATACTTAATTTTTATATTTGCTTGTGTTGAGCCCTCTTTATGTCATGCTTGATTGATTTTACATAAACTCACTTTTGTGCATCTTCAAAATTAATAAGGGCCTTCATTGATATGGTACAATAATTCATTGTGTACACAACTTGATATTACCGACTAGACATCCGCCTTTGCATTCTGCCAAAATTTGTAGACATAAGTCAGTCGATATTTTGAGCGACTCCAAACTAATCAAGAGGTAATTCATGAAGTATTCCAAGTGTAACGTTACATTTCTGATTTTTTTTTTTTTCGAATTATATTGACAAATAATTCTAAGTCGTAAATCTTAGTTTAAATTATTTGTGAAAATTGATTGTAGAGATAATAAAATAAACTAAAACCATAAAATTATATAAAATAAATTCGTGTCACTTTAGAATTGGCAAAAATTTGAGATATATTACCAAAAACCAAAGTCTAACCCTCCTATCAAATGGGTCCTTTTTATATTAAACAAAATAGACGCAAGGCAATAATTTTTCATGTCAAACATAATGTTGATGCCTTCTACAATTACAATTGAAAATGATACACGAGCTAAAAAACTTTGAAAGACTTTTCTATCCTTGAAAATACACAAAATGACAACACTATTAATATGCGTCTATTCAATTTCCCATAAAACAGTTAAAAGATTCATACAAATTGTAACTACGTGACCTCTTTAGATGCGAGCAATTTGCAGTACACATTCAAGCTGTAATGAATTAATCTTTTTGCATTCTTGGTTCTTTAAAATGCATATACGTATATGAATAATGTTATTGAGATCTAATTTATTAATCGAATTTGTTGACTTAATTCATTATGACCTTTGGATTGATTGTAAGACCTATCAAACATCGGAACTTAATATTGATTCAATGGTTCTAGTGAAATCACATTATTATGTCAGCGAATTAGGTCAGATTTTTAAATTCAAATACATTATTGTACATATATACATATACATACCTAATCTGACTAGGAACGGAGTCATAATTTTAATTCTAGGGGGGCCAAAAGAGTAACCATAAGTTTTTATTCAATGGGTTGTCATTAATATTAAACATTTCATTGCATAAAACCTAAGAACATAATTTTTAATACGATGCACAATAATGTTATTTTAAAAAAAAAAAATTAATCCAAACTTTTCATTAAAAAATCCACAATTTGGGTTTGATTTTATTTTATAGTCATTATATCACTGGAATACAATTAAATTTTATTATACCACTAAAAGAATGAAAATCTAAACAAAATGAAATAGAAAAAGAGTAGATTTGTCAAAATATATATTATATATAATTTTGGATTCTATAAAAGTAAGATTTGGGAAAATATGTTTTGTCCTTTGAAATTATGTAATTAATCGATTATTGCTTTGAACACATTACATTATTACATTATCAGCCATTCAAATCGGTAACGTTTTGCTCAAGTTGTTGAATTTTGATTTTGCACAAAATTGTCAATAGAAATATTTGAATGATTGTTGGTGAACTGTTTTTGAATCCACGGGATAAAAAGGAATCAAAATCACAATTTAAGGATTTAAATTAGAAGTTTGACAACTTGAGGGCCTTTAAGTAAATTAAAAATAGATATTTTATATTAATGTATATTCTTTAAAATTATAAATTGCTTATATCATCAAACCATTAGTGATTCCCTGACGGAACACTAAAAATAGGGGCAATTTGTCACAGGACAACAAAAGTAGAGGGAGGTTAGTGTTAATTTATAATAAGAGGGGGTCTAGTTATTATTTGGCCAAACCTCAAGGGAGGTGAATGTAATTTGTCCTAAAAAAAATGACTCTAGAAATATGAAGCATAAATACTTCGTTGAAATTGGCGTACTTATATCGTATATCATATCGAATATGATACTCGAGAATACGTATCAAATATACTTCTGACTTATCCGATAATAGTTAAATATTATGATACTTCATAGATATTTTTGTGTTCAAACAACATATATAATTTTTGAGTTGAATTTTTAACATTTTTTTTCAAATTCACATACCATACAATACATTAACAAAAATTCATACTACTTCAAAAGTATATAAATATTTTTTTAAGTATTATAAACATTTACAAGTCAAGAGAGAATAAAATAAATCTATTACATTATAATTTTAGCAAAAATTACTTCTAAATAAATCGACTCGATAAATATTAGCTTTGATTCTTTTAATTAATCACTTCACTTTATGAATATTTTATAATGATACAATATATATTTTCTTGGAACTAAAATGAATTACTAATTTTTTTTATTGTGTTAAAAAACTATCAAAATATATAAGTATTACGATGGTTGAAAATAATAAAAATATTAAATATATTTGAGTAACATATTTTGTTTTGTTGTAACGGATAAAACAATATGAAAGGAACATTTGATGATCTTGCTTGTGGATATAACTCTATACAAAGTTATGAATCTGATGATAACTCAAAAAATCCATCGACACTAATAATTTATTTGTTTATTATTATATGACAAATGACTATTATGGTCTAAATTATAGTTTTTAGTTCAAAAACTAGACTATAATTTCTATGGCGTTTTTTTTTTCTTTCGTCTTCCTTTTCATTTTCGTCTTTTGGTTTGTGATTCAGGCACAAGAGGCAAAACAAATAGAACTCGATATTTTGTTGGAGTTTAATATTTTTTAAGGCTAAACAATTTCTCAAAATGGAAAAATAAGGCCACTTGGTCACCTATATATATAATTGATAAGTAATCATAATCACTTCACCACGAAAATTATAATGTTCAATCCAAGTATAATAAAAAGAAGTAATCCAAAAAGTCTAAAAACATATAAATTGAAATTATTTGCTTGCACAGCAGCAACTAAAGTGAATCCAACAACTCACTTGTATGTATTTAATTTTAAAATTATTTTTTTCAGTCAAGTTAATCATTCAACAAATCAGAAATGAGGACGAAAGATATCAATAGACTTTTTATGCAAAGTAAGAAGAGAATTTCACAATATTATAGAAATGGGTTCAAAGGTTACACTTTCGAGAGTGAAAAAATTGGAATAAAAAAAAAAAGCATAAGAGGTAAGGGAAAGTGAAGTACATAGATATAGAAAATTACTAAGACATGTCTTTGTTCATCATCATTGCTAATGTAAGCTATTCGTAATTCAGGAAGACCGGAATCACCGGTTGGGTTTGTTCAACCAAGGAAGGCATGGGTTGGCCAGTCAAGGTCCTCGAGTCGGTTCTCCATTTATTTATATTAGTTTCCGTGCCATACCCAATATTTGAACAATGAATAATAAATAGACACATGGGTGGAGACTAAGTCTAAAAATATATTTTTTAAACCAAAAACTGAAAAGTAAAACGAAAACACCCAATTTCTTTTTTCTATTGGGATTGATTTTTAAAACAAGCACACATTCGGCTTTTGTAAACTTTATACCATTGAAAAATTTTATATTCAAAATAGTGTAAATGCAAAGTACTCCTGCATCAACTAATTTTTTAAAAAGCTTAAAAAGACTCTAGGGAGTAGAAGTATCTCATTATCTGCAACTAATTATAATCGTAGTTATCTTGCTAAATTTTCTTATTAAAACATCATTTTGCTTTTCCGCAATATTAAAACATGTTTCATAGTTCATATATTTTAAGTCCATTTAGCTCCCACAAATTTTAACTTATATATTTATTCCAAAAAAAATTATTTTGTTAGCTAGTCTAAATTTTCATTCTCTTTCTTGTTATCTTTGATAGATAACGAGCTTAATAACATATAGTCGAGAATTCAACTTTTGTTAATGAAATTTTAATATATAAAACTCAAATTTAAAAATTCAATTAATATTTTTGAATCCCAAAAAGAAAAAATAAAAAAAAATTGTAACCTATTTATTAAAATATATACTATTATAATAATAATTTGTAGGGCTTAATATAACATTTTTCAGCTAGAACCCCAGATATATAACGTGGTAACTAATTGTTGGTCTCGGGTGTTTCGAGATGAAAAAAAAGGTAGTCGAAGTGTCCCACATCATCCTAACTCACAGGGCGAATCTACAGTGGGAGCAGCGACCCTTTGCTGCAATGTTTAAAACATATAGGGTATATTTAGAATTTCAAAAAATTTAAGACATTGCCCCTAGTAGAATATTATAAAAGTTCCTGGGGTAAGTTTATATTTTACAAACAAGGTGTGACATCTTTTGTCTTTGATAGACTTTCAGCTGTAGGCCCATAAGATTGGGATTTCGTATAAAAATAATATAAAATTATAGAGTGATCCTATTTACCAAAAAAAAAATATATGAAATTTGGCAGTTCATGTGCTTGATATTTTAGATTTAATAGTTTTTAATGAAACAAATATTTGATTAATTATAAACAATTTTGAATAAATCGTTGGATTAGGGAATACGTCAACATACATGAGTCAATCTAGATAAATTTGAATAAACTGTTGGATCCTATTTACCAATTTTTTTTTTATTTAGATAAAACTGAAAAAACTATTTGTTTAGAATTTTACAATTGATCTTTAATTAAAATAATCAATTTTAATATTTTGGATAGATTTCAAGTATCTCAAAAATTACAATTTGACCCAAAAAAATTGTAAATTTAATCTTAAAAGTTGTGACATGACTCATAAAAGTAATAATAATTTTTAGAATTTTATTTTTTTTCTTTTTGTCTTTTTTGTAAAAAAACCCAAAAATTTATATCACTACCCATAAGACTTAAAAACTCCACCGTATACCCTTTGATATCAAAATTGAACTCTAATTCTAAATATCATCCATAAATATGACACAAAATTAAAAAATAATTTAAGTTGCCTCCACAACCTAAAAAGTCTAGCTCCCAGCTCCCAGATAACTTATGATATGGGTAATCAAAAATAGACTTTTGACTTTTCAAATCCAATTCCACCAGTTTTGCCTCTGATGGTCCATCTTATCTATCCACAGGACAATTGCATGCATATGCCGTCTTAGAATTGAATTGCCCTTGGGCTCATGGACCCATGCATAGCAAGAGTCTCATAGATCTGGAAGTAATGTACCCTTCTCACCCCCACATCAAATGGACCCTTTCTCACTAATATAGGACGGAAACTACAGTATTTTTTTTTATAAATGCAATCATTTAATTTATAATTAATGACGGAGATTGATTGAATATCATAGCCTTACCCAACAAAATCAGTGGGTGATGATGAAGCGTTCTTCCCCCGAAGAACAATAAACAAAATCCTCCAAGTGTTTGCAGAAATTCCCAATAGAATTTTTTTTTTGTTTTTGCAGGTTCACAAGTTGAGACCAAGATGGGTAGCAATCCAGCCGGAAAAGAAGCCGATCACATCATTAAGATTTGGCAAGTAAACAGAGACCGGTTGGCATCGATGCAACAAAAAGTCTCCGATACGCCGCAACTTCTGAGCAAATCGGCTGGCCGGAGCTCCTGCTGCATCTTCAGAGTTCCCCAGAGCCTGATTGACATCAACGGCCGGTGCTATCAGCCTCATGTAGTCTCCATAGGGCCGTACCACCACGGAGAGCTACACCTCAAAATGATTGAAGAGCACAAGTGGAGGTTCTTAGGCTCCTTATTGAACCGAACAGCAAGTAAAGGCCTGGCCTTGGAGGACTACTTGAAGGCCATACAGCCACTGGAAATCAGAGCCAGAGAGTGTTACTCCGAAACTATTCAATTCGATACCGATGAATTTATTGAGATGATGCTACTTGATGGTTGTTTTATCATTGAATTGTTTCGGAAGATTGGTGGGTTGGTTCCATTCGAGGCAGATGACCCACTTATCTCTATGTCATGGGTGTATTCGTTTTTCTTGAGGGATTTGATTCGCCTTGAAAATCAACTTCCATTTTTTGTTCTCCAGTGCTTGTTCGATCTAACGATGATGCCCGAGGAAGATTCAGGTCCCTCGTTGGCCACTCTAGCATTGCAATTCTTCAACAATGCGTTGCAGAGACCTGATGAAGTAATCTCCAATTATACTAATCTAGAAGGCAAACACCTGCTCGACTTTGTTCGAGGGAGTTTTATTCCACAGGATGATGAAGAGCCTAAAAATGGTAGCAATTCACCAACCCATGTAATTCAATGTATATCAAAGCTTCGTCGTGCTGGGATCAAGCTCAAACCCGTGAAGGCCGATAGCTTCTTGGTTATAAAGTTCAAGCGCGGAGTGATTCAGATGCCAACCATCACCATTGATGATTTCATGAGCTCGTTTTTGTTGAATTGTGTGGCGTATGAGCAATGTCACAGTACATGTTCCAAGCACATGACAACATATGCTACATTATTAGATTGCCTCATAAACACAGGCAAGGATGCGGAATACTTGTGTGACCGGAACATTATCGAGAACTATTTTGGCACTGATGCTGAAATAGCTAAGTTCATCAACAATTTGGGAAAAGATGTGTCCTTTGACATTGACCTGTGCTACTTGGCAGGGTTATTCGACAAGGTGAATCAGTACTACCGGAATGGTTGGCACGTTCAGTGGGCTAGCTTTCGGTACACTTATTTTGACACACCATGGTCATTCATTGCATCAATAGCTGCTTTGATTCTTTTAGTCCTTACCATGGCGCAGACCTACTTTACAATTGTCCCATATTATCGTCCTTCCTAGTAAAGCTCAACAACGGTATGATCATATTGTCTTTTTAAGTCATGTCATATCCAAATTTGCGTAATCCATCCTCCACCCATTTGGGTATGCTTATTATGGCAAACCATGGTCATTCATATCGACATTGCCGCTTTCCTTCTTTTACTCTCACCACGGAACAGACCACCTCCTCAAATATCTCTTATTTTCTTCCTCGAGCTAGGGTTGCACCTCTTGATGTGCATAGTTTTTGTCTCTTCACACCATATGTTTTCACCACTATAATGATTTTTTAGGTTCACATTTATATTTTGGCGAATGTAAATTTGATGTAATTGTTGTATTGTGCATACCATAAATCAGAAATATTACACTTAACTTATTCAAAACGAATTGACAATGAGTAAAAAGACTCATCAATCAAATAAACAAACTTTGTGTGATTACACTCTCCTTTATGTACAAACCGAGCTTGCAAGTGGGTTTAAAAATTGACGAGCTCTTTTGACAAGAGAAATTCATCTTTATCTCCAATGATTGATTAACATTTTTTTCTTAACTCTCCATTCTTGGGGTTTCTCGGGATTTGACAGAAAATAAGCATTTGGATGTGGATCTGTTTCATCATATTTAATCTTAATTTTACTACATCCTAGTTCACTCCTTATACTTTGTACTTGAATTAATGATGAGTAATTTATACTATTAATAAGAATACCTTATCACAGAAAATGAGTCTATTAAATGTTTATAGTTATAAAAAGAATACGAATAATTTAAGTATGCTAAATATGAGATAATATCTAATGTAGCCACATAATTAAATTTTTTTATATATTTTATCAAATATTTCAACAAAAATTTTCTGGTGCAATGCTCATCTCATTAAAAGAAATTAAAGGAGAGTATATGTGGGGATACGGGTTATAAGTAATTTGATGGGGAGATATTATTCACAGCTCTAATAAAACTTTATTTTAAAATAAGAATACCGCTCTCGATATTCTTTGTTACTTCTTGGTTTTTTGCTTTCCTGGTAAATTTATTATTTGATATGATATGACACGATAAATTTTTGGATAAAATGAGAAATTTTATCAATTCATTATACTAATTTTAGAAGATATACTTCTTCGATCCAAAATTGAAAAAGAGATAAAGAACCACGGGGTGAAACTGACAGTTAATACTCATAATGGTGTTCCCTGACCTCTATCATTTGGGCAATCAGTTAGTATTTGAAATTGAAAAATTGTCAAACTTATTGTAGTATTGAGACACGATGCAGGAATACAATGGACAAGAAAAAGGTGTGTTTGGTAGGTGTCAGATGGAACCATCCAAGAAATATCCAGTCCTGAGATCATTCTCAATCTGATTTGGTTTGGACGGTTCTTGAACATGGGCAGGAACGAGTGCTAGAACACCTCTCTTGACAAGCAACACATTCAAACTAATGGAAAAATCTGAATCCAGGTCCACTTCATATCTTGATCTTCAAGTTAAAACCAAACCATTTCAATTTGATTAGTATACTTCGAATTTTCTTTGAACAAATCTATAATTTTCTATTGCATGTTACGAGCAATTACATGATTAAGATTAGGCTCCCAAATTTCATAAGAATTAGAGGATCTTTTAATTCTATTGTGTCACACCAAGGTTGAACAACTTATTTTTTAAGTCAATTGTGCAACTTGTATGTCTACGGTTTATAAACTTGAGTCTCTCTTTAAATGCTAGACCCTTTTAGTACCTGTAACGGTCATGTTATGTGTATTATAAGTCGGGTAAATGAGTAATTTGAATGTTAGTTGTGCATCTTAAAACAAAAAACCATTAATGATTGTCTCTAATAGATTGACCAAGTCTCTAATACATTGACCAAGCCTAACAGCAAGTACTAACCTAAGACTTTCTCTCCTGCTAAGTTGAAAAGTCCGATGACAATTACTTGTCAAAGTTTAATGGCGGAATTTTGATTTGTCAACCCAGCAGCCATTTCACAGATCTGGAATACTACTGTTTATAACTATGAAGGCCAGTCTTTTATGCCCCACAGTTTTTGCCTTTCTATCCTCTTCCATTTGCCTTCAAGAGAATCAAAGCCAGCAATTTTCCTCTTGCTCTTACAATTTTCTCTCTTTCTTCCAGAGAATGAAAAAAAAAAACCATGCCGATGAACCTTCATTTTTCAGAGATGCAAGGATTTCCCCAACCTTCAAGACCCATGAATTTCTCTGAAGAAAGACTTCAACACCCATTTTCTGATGGCTTTCATGATCCTGCAGTACCACCAACTTCAGCACCAGAAAGAGGAGAGAGATTTGTGGTCGATGACGAAGATATGATTCAAATTCTGGGAGAATTTTTGGAGGAATTTGATGACAAAGGCCGTGAAGTGTTCCAGAAATTCTTTTCCGAGGCAGAAAAGGAGATTCCATTTGAAAGATTGATCAAAGAAAAAGTAAAAGAGTTTAGAGGCAGACCCATATCAAACTTGATTGACATGCTTCTAAAAAGATTGCATGAACTAGTAAATTCAGGTACAGTGAATGATCAAACAAGCATGGAAAGAGGTGTTAATGTTGAAACAGGGGCAGAGTTGAAGCACAAGCTTGAGCGCTTCAAAGTGAAGACTATAAACCCAGTAATCGCCAAGGAAGACAAGAAGTGAAGGTCTTGATCAATTCAAGCTAAGAACTTCAAAATGTTGTTCATTCACATCAAGACTAAGATATTCACGATAAATAAATCTCTTCTAGCCTCAAATGAGTGATCAAGATTTAAACTCAAGATATATAGATTTATAGTCATCCTTGTTACAACTTAAAGTACTTCTTAAGTTTAATTGTTTTTCTAATTCAAAACCATTCATTCTTAGTAAATCCAAATTGCTTGGGGTTCAAAACTCCCCACCTACCCCCCCCCCCCCAAAAAAAAATAAAAACACCCCACCTCTCAATTGATGCTATTCAAAAAGATAACAAGTAATCGAACTTGCAAAATTACACAAGTTATAACTTGAGAAGTTGATTGCTACTTGCCCATGGGCCAAGCTCATGGGTTGCACCATTTGCAATTGGGTCTGGGCTCAATCAGGCATTATCAAATTCACAATGGGGTAAATTCTATAGACAATCCATCGCATCATCCATCCTCACTAGGGATGGCAGTGAACCGAAAAAAAACGGGTATTCGTCCAAACCCGTCTCGTTTGAGCCGGAGATAGACTGTACATATTAGACAGTGAACGTATACAAAGATATCCGCATAAACCCGTGCGGGGATAAAGGTGATTAGTTTCGTGACCCAAAATTACAATGTTTGTGCTTCCTTGATATTATCTTGTGATCCATTTCTTGTTCATAGTGAGGTATTTATCTTTTGATGCATCGAGTCACTGCCACATTCTTTCAACTGGGACCTCCTTTGTGCTCCTGTTGCTTCAGTCTCATATGACAATTGCATTGTTGCTTTTAGAATTTAGATTGAAGAATAGTTTTGATTCTCCTTACCCAATTCTAGATTTAGATTTTAGAGACATGTCAAATGATAGAATAAGATGTGTGACAATGCAATGATTTGTAGTAACAAGGTTGGAGGAAACACAGGATGGTTCATTTAAAAGGGGTATGACTATCTGGCAGCCTTGGTTTTGCCATGTATTGTAGAAGGAAAACAGAGATACAAAAGAAATAGAGCAACAGCCTTGGGTTGGTTTAATGTGCATTTTGGTGGTGTTTCTGGGACTGTTTCTAGGCTATTTTTGGTGCTGTTTCTGGTGCTATTTTTCTGGGGTTATTTTGTTGTTGTGATTATGTTAGAGATACTGTTGTTTTGTTGTCAATGTTGCTCCTGATGTGTTTCTTTAATGCTGTTAGAGCATTGGATTTACTAAAACATTAGGATGTTTATTGGATTTAGAGATCTTCAGTTAGAATTATCATTTGTCACACTTTTTATATTGTTACCTCTTCTATTCTTGATCATAGCAAAATAATAATAATAATGCTATTTTTAATCTTTTGAATTTTAAATTATGTTGATTTGAACTTAAACTTGGGCTTGGACTTATGCTTGGGCTTGGGCTTGGGCGAGTATGAGAGAAGCAAGGATGAGGATGGGGACGGGAATTATAAATTTACTTGCGGTTGGGGATGGGGATGAAAATTATACCCGTTAGCGGGGGTGAATTGGGGATGCTCGAAAAATTTTTAAGCAGATACGAAGATGAAGACTATACCCCCTGCCTGCTTTAGTCCATTAACATCCCTAGTCCTCACATTATAGTTAATCGGCGGGAACAGCCCGGACCAGTCTTGGATAATTTTTTAGGCCCAAACTCATCCTGTACAGAGCTACATATAAGTCAACCGACCAATTTTGGGCCATCTAATCACAAAATACATGGCCAGTGGTCTGTCCTCAGGGCCAACCCTAATGGGCCCTTAACGGGTCAATCCTCGGACCTCTCAATGGGTCTTAAATGAGCCTTTTCGGGCAAAAAACATTTAGAAAAATGTGGGGCCAGTCCACTTTTGTGGAGTTATTAGGCAAAGAGTCTATTCAGAAATTTTATTTGAATTTAAGTTCAGTTCGATGACTATTATCCAAGATATTCGCAAGATTTACATCTAATTAAAATAGGTTTGAAAACTTAAAAAATTCTAAATTTTAGAGTTTTTCTCGCATTAAAACTCTCTTTCTCTTTCTCTCCTCTCTTGATCTATCCGATGACACGTCAAAAAAAAATTATTTCAGCAAACCAGATTTTTTGAATAAACTATAGTCCTTAACTTTAGTTAACTCCATCGCCCTCCACGCAATTTCTCTCGAGTATGTGTACTAATAGTAATTTGTTCCTAAAAACACTACACAACACTAAAATTGAACATTTCAAAAATGGAGCACCGATTTTTTGAGGTGCTTATTTTGTGTACTGCATGCCATGATGTGCACTATGCGCTTCTTTGAATATGTTGTTTGTAATAAAACAACAAACAAGAACTATTGGATTATACGCACAAAATCAAAGTGAAGGAAACTTTTGTTCAATGAACAAAATTGGACAAAACTTAGTAAACTCAATGCACACATTGCCACTAATTCACTTTAATTGGTGTCAATTATCTAAATTTACCTATTATCACCCTTCCTATCCTAAATCCAAGAATTCGCTGATAAAATCAATCCTTTTCTTCAAACTTTCAAATTCTCCACTTTATGGCTTGTTTGAATGGATTTTTGGGGAAGATTTGGATTGACTTCCTAAAACTCAAACCTTTCTTTACAAAGATGAGATTTTATATTGAATCCAGTTCATACTCATGTTTGATATGTAATGCTTACACGTATAAGACCCACGGATATATCATAATTATAAACAATTATTTATCATGTAAATAATTATTTTACTCTTGATCAATCCAATTCATAATCATGTTAAGGGGTACAATTGTCTTTTGAATCCTTAACCCTTCGACTCATCTTCTCAAACTCACACTCCTCTAAGTTTGACAAAACTCATAATCATTAGTTTAATATTCAAGCCAATTACGGGCCATGTTTAGGAACTCAAAATTGAATTTTCACTCTAATCATGAGATTTGAAATTGTTTGTATTATTTTTCCCAAACTCATCTTATCAAATCTCCCTCCCTCCTCACCTCTTTACCAAACAGCCCTTTAGAGTATAACATGTTGTAAACCCACAAGTAAAATAGAATCTAAACTTGATGTCCAAAATTATACCTTCAACATTCTTTTCTTATCCCAAACATACAAAACCAACAAACAAAATTGAAACTTTTACACATTCAATGCCCTTCATTTAACAGAAGTGAGTGAAAGTTTTGTCCAAAATTACACATGCACATATGTTTCGTCCAAGTGTCAAAACCAAAGAAACAAACCTTAATGTGGCGTAGTAGGGTGTGTGTGCCAGAGAGAGTAGCCCTATATAGTAATTGATACTTCAAGAAAATGGCTAAAACACAAACAATAAGCATAATTAAGTATATACATCCATTCTATTAAAAAACCAAATACTCTCCCAAAAGTCAGGCCATAAAATCAAAAATCAAACTAAAAATACTTCATTTCGACATTCACTTCAAAGACTCACAATATCATTTTATGACACCATTTTTCGTTGCTCAGTCTTTTTTTTTCTTCTTCTTCTTACAATCTTTCATGTTCGTAACAATAAGAAAAATGATGCTCTTCGACTCATACAAAATAAAAAATTTGGCAAAATTACTTCTAATATACATAATTTTTATATTTCAGAACTACACCATAAAACTGAAAAAATTATATATATATACAAATAAGACCAATAAAGCTGCAAAGGCTAACTGTACCAATTTGAACAAAATTACTATAATGGCCAGCTGCACCAATTTTTGTCAAAAAAATAATCATATCAAATTCAATAAAAAAGGATCAATATGAAAATCCAAATACAATAAAAAAAAAAAAGCAAAACAATAAAAAATTACTAAGAAATCAACAATATAAAAAATGAAACTCATCCATGCTAAACAACTACGTACAATAATCTAGAAATGGAATAGATTTATTAATTTTTTTAGGGTAAATTTTATTGACCCCCCTAGATTTAAGTTATATATCACTAAGACCCTTCTAGTTTCTAAATATCACTCTTTAATTTATATACACACGTTTCACAAACTATCCCTACCGTCTAATTTATATCACTATGTCGTTACTAACAAGCAAAAAAAAGTGTGATGCAATGCTTTATTCTCTTATGAATTACTAAAGTTACCCTTGGCTATATAAAATAAGCTTAAAATAGTAGTAAATATCATTTTAGTATTAATTAATTTAGAATGCTAATTGGATTAAATAGAATGTTTCCTATCAAAAAAAATGGATCAAACAAAATGTTAATTTAGTGTTAATTTTTAAAAATAATATTAATTTGAATTAAATGTTAAGTCTGTTAACCGACAAAAACTCATAGGGGTATGCAACAATATTTCAGAAACTAGAGGAGGGGATGTCAGTGAAATTTACCCTTTTTCTTTTATTACGAAAACAAAGGTTTCAATATAATATTGGACTTCCAACCATATTTTTTTAAAATTCTAATACCTTCTCTCTCTCTCTCTCTCTCTCTCTCTCTGGCAGTGACCACCCAAGTGGGCTGATCATCACTTTTGCAGGACAGAAAATGCCCACTTTATTGATTTCATATAAAGAGCATGCCTTCCATTGCTGATCATCCACTGGTTGGAATTAAATTAGAATTCAGGTCAGTGTGCCATCAAGACACCCTCACTAATACATCATCAAGACCAAATAGTAATGATTAGGAAGACATCAAGTGTATGTCATTCAATTCACATCCTCCCAATAAAATAAAATAAAAATCAATTAGTCATTGTCAAGAAAGTAAAAACAGAAACATCGCATGAACAAATCCAAGAATAATGATCCAAACAATGTTAAAAACTGCGCAACCATCATCTGTTCGTCCACCATGAAAGCTCCTAGGTTCTTTCAGTCTTATGGTTAGATTGACGAAAGGCACATTGCCCCAACGTATATCAAAATTCTGGTGGTGTGCACAAAGTTTTCGGATCCAAGTCAATCGTCTTTCAAGTCATTGATTAACTCCTGTTAAGCAATTTTCTCAACAGCCTATTTAAGTAGACATTGAATCATTAAAAGTCCATCAACGCATCAGGTAAACAAAGAACTTATCCTAGAATTCTCTAGCAAGAGCTTCAAGAACCTTAATTGTTGTACTCTTCTTAGCCACTCTGAAGTTAGGGTTTATTTTTGGGGGGGTTTCGATCTATGAATGCTAATAGACATCAATGTGAATATAGCTGGATGGGTTATCGAGTTCCTTCTTCATCAATCACTCGAAGATCAAACTTCTGTCATTCTTGTTGGATTTGTGCTGTGGATGTTGGTTATGAATTGTTGGTTGGCTTAAGAAGCGTTGTGTTACAAAATCCAATGGATTTGCTATGGGGACTAGGCACAAACAATGAAAGGAGAGAGGAAAAAAGTCGACAATGACATAGATAGATAGAGTTATAATTTTTGAAACACGGAGAATACCAACTGTTTGATCAATATTGAATCGGTAAGCTTGTAATCCACGCCCTCTCCCTTGATACATATCACGTGCTTAATTTGTTGGACTTGTAGACTATCATAGAGTCGAGAACTGGAGTTTAGCGTTTTGTTTTGATTCATTGCCCTCAGTGAATAACACCTATTTTTGAATTGATTTTATTGCTTAGAATCCAATAATGGAGTACTAGAAATTGACCCTTTGGACTTGGGGAGAGGTTTGTTATTGGACAACGATTGCAAAGCCGATGATTACAGCGATTACAAAGCTGACAAAGGATTGATGGGAATAGATGTGGTAATAAATTAGAAGCATAACAACTGAAGGGTTAGATACATACAGAATTGTATGAAGTAGAAGTGATGGAAGATATAGAATCTATCATCATCCAAATCAATTTGAAAACTTCTTTTAACATTAAAACAATCTAATAAGGGTGTTTTAGTAATAAAAAGAAAAAAAAACTCAGAATAGACTTAACTATCAAATAAAATTAATAATATAATACTTAATGACACATATTTAATACTCGGACTTTAAGACTTATACTTCTCGTAAATAGACCAGCCCCCAACTATCACAAAATTTTATTGCCACAAAATACATGGCCCATGGTCTGTTCGAAGGGCCAACCCTAATGGGCCTTTAACGGGCCAATCCTCGGACCTTCTCTAATGGGTCTTAGACCCAGACCTAAAAAATTAATCCAGACCCGAACCTGCTGGGCTAATGAGTACAAGGTGGCCCATCCGGCTATGGACTAAATGCTGACCCTTTAGTACAGTCCTTCTTTGTGATCAAAAAAAAAGTACCGTCCCTCTTACTCTCCTCCTGATTACTAATAATAACTTCCATGATTTGATATTTGATATCCACTTTCTGTGAATTTGATAGATAAGATGTGCTTGAAAATTACACCAGAAATGGAAGAACTGTTACAACTTCAACTGTCCGATTGAACATATATGGGGCTATGCACTATGAAAAACTGTGGTGTTGATCAATGGCAAAGATCCATTAATGGTTAGATCATTGCTCAAGTTCCCAAAGTGGAGAAGAATTACATTGATTTATATCAACAGCAACAGAAAAACCTGTCAATCAGGCACTTCAAGTGATGGTTGATCTTTCATCATACACCTCTATCCGAAAATCGGGAAAGGGGAGGCGAATTATGTTACAATGATGATTATATATGTGTGCTCATAATGAATATACAATCATCCATTCTATTGAAAACAAAACATGCTTATGGGGTAGAAATCAAAATGATTAGACGCTTGTAACAACTTTTTAACCATTTTATCAAATCATGAAGTAGACAAATTGAATTGAAACTCTGAGATAAGTTTTTTTTTGGCTTGTAACGAGCTTTAAAAAGACTCTACTTACTTAGTAAGAGCTGCGAAAACGAGTTTCTTACCCTATATCTTGGGTATGACTATGTCGAATTTCAATGCTCAAGTGTTTCAACTTTCAAGGAGAGGGGTACAAAAAGTGCTCTTTTAATCTCCTTAGTTTCCCAAGTTGTAAAAGGGAGGGACCTGACCTTCATCAATTAGATAGGCTTATATTTATTTTATGAAAAATGTTATGAGACATAATCTGTCTAGGGTTGATAAAGAATTTTTTGTGAAGATGAAAGCTCTCCAATTCTAAGGAAGTACACCTCCTCTTCCTTCTAGGATCTTGTCTTTTGTTGACACATTTTTGTCTTTTTTATCTGCAATCTTCCAAACATAACAAAGTAGTTGAGCGAAAGCATTGTAAACTTTTTGAGACAGCTCAACCTCATGCGTCTATTTTTGAGCTATGAGCGGCAAACAAAAATCAATTCAAATTAAACGTTTACTGGTAGAGTAACGGCGGATAAGTGGTATAGTATAAACAACCTGAGCGAAATGTAGATGAATCGGATATGTTACCTCTTTGAGGTTTCTATTGCTAATTTAAAAAAGTTAAGCTTCCTAACTTTGATAGATTATGCATTATCCTAGTTTACCATTAAACTGATATATTTCAAACAGTGATCAGCTTGTAAAACTAAAACCCTAGCTAGAAACAAACAGTTCATAGAACTTATTGCACTTGTACGGAAACAAGGATCAGTCTTTTAACTTTTTAACTTGTTCAGGTTGCTAATCAAAGTAGAACAAGAAAAACTTTTTTTTTTTTTACTGATTTCTACCGGAAGTAGATGGGACAGCTGGGTTGTGGCTGTATCAATCTACTTCATGGAATGGCTAAGCGGCACTAACTATATGTGGGAGATCATGTCAGCAGTATGTGTGAATAGTAGTGGCAAACATATTAACCACAGTCAATAAAGGTGATAATTAGTTTTTTGTGGAACTTAAATCATTGCTTAGTCCCTAATTATCACTCTTTTTCACTGTCTCCAGTTTATGATATTGTTGTCTCCTCCAGTATACTTTTTCGGCATATCGCTCACCATACACGGGTGGGAGTTGCGTTATGTATAATGTGTCTAATTTTAATTTTTGACGGGTGATTTTCATTAAGAAATAAAATATATACACATATATGTTCTAGGAATGATCCAAATCCCTATATTGGGCACTTACCTTACAAACTTGTGTCGTTGTACTGTACAATTGCTCTCAGTTTTTTCCCGAAATATGAAAGTTGCGAAAGGTAAAAACGTACGTTATTAATCTAAAAAAGAGATATACAATAAATCTTAAAGCTTGATACGAGGGCTCACTGAGGATTTTTGAGAACAGAAAAGCATGGAAATTCGCTTCCATATAACTTTGTTTGAATGACTTCTCTCGGAACCCTAGAAATGTATCCAGTAGTTCAATTCATTGTAAGTACACTCTATCTTAATTATGCTCTAGAAATGTGAGTTTTGTTGAGATATGTGTTGAAACCTTTAAGAAATGGGCGTTGTACTTGGGTAACTTCACAACATTACTTTAAAAAACTTTAGGGTTTTTAATAATCCTCCCACTGCAGCTTATATATCTGTTCTTAGTTTCTGCTTCTCAAAAACATCTATCACCCTTCTGTAGAGTAATTGCTGGGATACTCCAACAAAACCCAAAACTTAAGGTTGATTAGAAATTGAAAAGATGAATCACCAGGTCCAAATGCATCAACTGCACATAGCAATGCACAGATGCCCATCATGCTGCATGGCTTAGAAACCTAATTACAGGTATTGCAAAATGCTATAGAGATTTAATTTAAGAACCTAATCAGAGACCTAATTCATTACCGCCATTAAATTAGTTATAAATTTCAAGATTGGGTAGAGTTCACTTTCAATCCAAGAATTATAATTGATTAAATATTCTGATTAGATCATCAAATAAAGTCCAAATAATATTTTTCTAACAAAAAGGTGAATTGTTCATATCAAACCTATTAAATCATCAACTCATCTAAAAGGTGAAACATAATATTCTCCATCAGGTATGGTTTCCCCTTGAATGGTCCATCCAAGAGATTGCATAGTGTGTTAAGTAAGGTGTAAGTTGTAAGTATCACAATCTGATACCATACTTGGAATGACCTCCACAGTATCACTCTGTCAAATGCCACATGTTATGATGTCAATCAAACATAATGACACCTCAACCAAGGTAAAGGTGGTCCCCAAGTTATAAGAGCCTTCCTCAATTGGCCCTGTTGTTTATTACTAGTATATTCATTGTTAAATAGGGATAAATGTAAGAGTAATGTTGCATAAACTTAAAAGTAAAATTAAAAATTAGATTAGATAATTTCAATCATTGATTTTATTGTGGGTCCCAATATTTATTGGAATCTACTACCTATTCAATGGTTGAGATTATCAAATTTAATTTTTAAGTCTAATTTTTAAATACATCTAATATTATTCTAAATGTAATAGTGCATGAAATGGTTGGTAGGACAAAACCCTAGAATCAACGGTTTAATTATTCCATTTGACTTAATGTCCCAACTTGCTTGCTTTTTAATCAAACCACGAATGTTATGTCTGCTTGGTGTTCTTTTGAAGCCTCAAGGTATGCATACTTTAATTGAAAATAAAGCATTCAGACGATTCTCTCCCCTTCTAGTATATATAACTGTTCCAGAAGTTGTTATGTTTCTAGTGGTTCCATTGGCTTGTGCTCGCACTTACAAGAGAGAGAGAGAGAGAGAGAGAGAGAGAGAGAGAGAGAGACCCCTTTTGGGGTGGCGCCGCCGGGGTGAGGTGGCGTTTGTATACGGCGGTATATATAACCCATAAAACTCCCCAACAATGCCTTTAAGCAGCTGTTACTGTTGATTGTTGATGGAATAGAAGATGTTTGTGAATGATTAAATCTACACCGCACTAATCCAGCAATGGTCGAGGAATTATCCTGGTTTTTTTTTGTCACACAAGGGATTCAAAGGACCTCAAGATGTACAGAAATGTACAATGAAATGGGTTTCTTCCGGTGGCAGATCACAGTAGTCTGAAAGCATTACTAGAACAGCAAGGTGCAACAACAGCAAACTAAAACAGACAATCCTTTACAAGCAATAAAAAAACAAGCCACTCATACTCGCATTCGATTCTTTCATTTTGGATTTTAGCCTTTGATGCGAGAGTCATTATTGTTTTTTAATACTGAATTATAGGATGATAGCACCCTAGAATCTTGATGGATCAAGGGTAATTCCACAAGTTCTGGTCTCCAATATTATCAGCATCAGTCTCATCACCAGAAACATCAAGACGGGGAGGGCTAAGAAGCATCCCTTCAGCCATATTCACCAGAACATTAGGCATATCAAAGATTAAATCCTCATCAACAAACTCATTCATCGCAGGATCATCAGCTGGTGGCAGTTCTATTGTCCCGCCAACTTGAGCCCCCGCCAGAGCATCCACGGCAGCCCCAGCAGCAGCGGCCGCTGAGGCTGCCGCTGCCTGAATGTCACGGTGGGAGGTGGAGGCGGGAACTGGCAATGAAGATGCCGAGTTGGGAAAGTTCAGCTCTGCATCTTGACCCTTTAGAGCCAGAGCCGCCACATCATAGGCCACAGCAGCCATTTCAGGAGTTGGAAATGTGCCAAGCCAAATCCGATTAGGTGTTCTCGGCTCACGAATTTCAGAAACCCATTTCCCATTACTCCTCCTACGCCTCACTCCACGGTACACTGGATGGCGCCCCCGGCCTGGAAGGGAAGGAGCCTCCTGAGGAAGGGACACATTGCCACTGCTACTGCTACCACTGCTGCCAATGCTAGAATGTGACATTACTTTGTATTGGATGAATTGCATAAGGAATTGTTTCAGATATGGTGCAGTAAGAAAAGATTGGCGGGAAGACGGGTTTGAGGTTGAAGATGAGAGAAGCCATTTATGGTGGATGGTTTTTTAGGGTTAGTTCTGCTTTCAGTGAATGGAGATCTAAGTGGGAAGTGCAAACCAGTTGTTGATGAACTGCATGCTGTGAGGGTTTGGGGTGTAAGACAGCTTTTGTGTTGGACATCTGGGTTGGAGGGCGTTTTTGCAGCTGAACCGCGCATCACAACGTCAAGAACAGTGGGATTGCTATGCCTGTGGATCATTTTAACAATCTTGTACAAGTGATTTGATTTAAAAAGACTAGGAACTTTATGTTCTATTCATAGCACCAAAAAAGAATGTAGGCGAAAGTGAGATTTTGGTGGGCTGCAAGTTGGGGATTTTGCTCCCCTATTTTCCAGATTTAGTGTACCGGTTTGCAATCAAACAGTATATTGCTTTCAGCCGGAAGGATCTCCTTGTTTTTACTAATTTTCGGGTTTAATAATGTATTATGATCGTTGGATAATGGACTTTATTCAATATTAGTCGTAATGTATTAAATTTTCAAATTAGGTCACACTAGTATTGCTCCTGTCTTCATGGTCTTCGTTGGCTCATGTTTCTTTCATTTTTTTTTTGTAGACAACGATATTTTTAAACTACAGAGAAGGAAAAAGAGAAAAGGGACTCGAACCATCAACTTGCGACTCTTTTATAGAGGGCTCTAACCATTGAAACTTCAGCCCTTATGTTTCTCTCAAAAACTAAAAATCGGACATTTCTAAACTGAAAACTGTTAATTAGGATCTATATATATGTGTGCAACGTGATTATCAGTTATATACTAGTCATCCATCTATCAAAACCCTTTTTCTGAATTGCATAAGAGACAGGGCACAAACACAACACAGAGTAGATTGAATATACTAGGTTTTGATATCTCTATTTGTACAAAACCAAATCAACTTTTCATATATGTGTCTTTCAAAATATTATTTTTGCAAACCTAAAATGTTGAGAAATGAAGGAGAGGATGAAAGTGCAAAATTGATTCATGACATGCATATTAATTACCAACCAAAAGTAACTCTTCAATATTGTAATTTTAACCGTGATCTAATATATCTTATTATATACGAAAAAATGATTTTTAGACGTAAACCTTGATTTAAAATATTTATAATCTTTAATCTTGAAAATCAGAATATAAAATAATTTAATGAGATGGTTTTTCTCTGATTGGATTAAAAAATGAGGTATGATAAGAAAGGGTAACTTTTTCAACATCATATTCAAACACGTAATTTAAGACAATTATTATTACTGATTAATGGAAGAGAAAAGTTTCCTTGAACTTTAGAACTGTGTGAAGGCCATGGTCTTACGTCAACATATAACTTGTTCCATGATTTTCATCCAAGCCAGTGGCGTTGCGAGTCCATTTTACTGTAATATTGTAGATGATTTAACTCAAACCATGAACTCCAAACTTTCTTAGATAAATAGTGTACCTTGTTCCAGCTTTACAGCATGATTCTTGAATCTCAAAAGGGCTAATTCATAATGACAAGAATTCAAATTTTAATTTTTTAATATTTTAGTTCGACTCTCCAAAGCCATAGCAATTCGTTGAGATTAAACTACTCTTTATCACCTAGAATACACAGAAAAATATTAACTTTAGCCCCGACATAAGTGCAATGAAATTTTTTGATGTGTAGTAATGAGAGACAATGCTCTTAGGAAATATGTGCATCCATTTCATGCACCAAGTGTCCAAAAAAACAATTTCATGCACCAAGAGAGAGAGAGAGAGAGAGAGAGAGAGAGAGAGAGAGAGAGAGAGTACTATTTGATGTGGCAGCTATCTTGCAAACTTAATGCGAGATACTTCGGGAACAATTCAGGGTCTTGTATGTCTTGCAGCTATGGTTTGCTTTTCGTCATCCCTCACACCAATGCTAAGCCCAATCACAGTGTCATGGACATTGATTCATGTGTCTAGATGTTTGCATTCACATAGAAAATTAGAGTTACTGACGGCATAACTATGTAATGATTTAAGCACAAAATCTTCCAAATCAATAGGTTTGAACCTTCCTTGCCTATTCATAAATTTCGATTGTAACATATTGTTGGCAGTTGAGGTTCAAACTTCAATTCTTACAACAAAACTCTTATGTATTCGATGTACATACGTTTGTGATTCATTATGAACATTCGGAATTTATTTCGTGACCATGAATTGAAAAGACGGATGAAAGTAATTTGTTATCACTTACCAAAAATTTTAAAAGCCAAAAATCACATGTTTGCCGGGTAGGGTTACAAGAATTTGTAGTGCAAGTATTGGATAACATGAGGAACACCACGAAATGAGAGTTTTTTTGTCAAAAGTGTTCGGGTCAATTTATGCAAATTCTCACTATTTATCTTCCCGGTTTGGTCAAAGGCAGGTCATCCACGCCGAAATTAAAGTATTCATCCCAAGATTCAAACCCTAGACGAAATAAATTTTAAAGATTGAAAAATAAAATTTAGAAAAACAGACTAGTCAGTTGTACTTTTATCGATTATTTCATTTTATTTTTGGGTAAGTATCATAAACTGTTACTTTTTTTTTTTTTTGGGTAAATATAAATCGTTACTTTCTAATTACTACACGGTCAATTGGCTAGAGACCCAAGAGCCAAAATGATTTGGAGCAATACATAACATAGGTGACATGTAGCTTTCACCAAGTCTAACCCTACCTACTCTTAACCGAGCCGAAGCTTAACTGAGGTTGTGATCAAGTTGGTTTCAAAGGACAAATCACCCACAGCAACAGACTTACAAGCTGCCAATTGCACAGGTTTTCATTCATGGTCGGCAACGGTCATCACCTGCCAACGACATTTATCGCAAGCAATACAAAATTAACATGTTATTAATTGATCATTTTTTGATACAAGTTCAAAAATTAAACAACCTCCTCTTAAGACGAATAATAAACGAGTCAAATTAATGTTAAATATAAATAATTTAAAATTTACACGATTAAAAAGTTTATAGTAGGAATAAAATGTCACTTTTTTATCATTTTTTGGTCAACTATTGACATGTTTTTGTACGATAAGAGGATTTTTTTTTACTGATTTTTATTATAATATGTATTAAGTTAATTATTTTAAGAAATTAAATTTTAGCGTTATATTTTTTATTCGCAGATCACATAGGTCAACTCAAACACAACATGAAAACAAACATGTTAAGGTAGTGTGATGCAGTTAATTAAATGAGGATAAGATTAATTAGTATTCGATATAAACCCGAATTAATATGACACAAAGAAACACAATTGTTACCCTAAACAATAGCCATTGCCTGCCCTTGGGGGTTTTTAGCGGTCTATATCGTGGACCAACCTAATTGCCTTAAATAAAAGTTTGAGAGTCAGAAAGGTTTTTGGTAAGTGGTTGTCCTGTGCGATTTAGTATTTAGTATTTTTTGATTTTTTGAGAGTCAGAAAATACAATTTAGTATTTTTTTGTTTTTTGTTTTTATCGCTACCCCTAATCCCACCCCACCACCACTCCTACTATCCCTATTCTCCTTCCATCCAAACATTATTCGAAAAAATACCAAATTGATGTTTTAGAAAAATTTAAAAGTAAACTAGTTAATAAAGATAATGAAAAATTCAAATGTAAAGTAATTAGTATTTAAAAAATTAAAAGTGATTGCATAGACTACATGGATGAATTCAATTGGAGCAGACGGACACAATTGTCATTCCTATTCTCGAGTTCTCTTCTCTCTAATTTATTTGTCTCTAGACATGGTGTTTTTTCATCATAGAGGCATACCTTCTACTTTTATTTTTCTATCTTCTTTTTAGTCTTAAGTGGATTGAACAGTGATTCTCCCATCATAACATTTCGGGAAATTCTATCTCTATTATTTCACAAATATGCCCACTAGCTCACAAAAAAAAAAAAAAAGCGAAGCATATATTACCCTTGGTGATCTAGATATAACATGTGATCTAGGTATAACATGCGCACTACATAAGCACAATTGCTGCTTTTAGTTAATGTATCTGTCTGATTACTTTTTTTCACGCAACAAAAACCCAATGTTCTATGGGTCAAGATCTAAATCATTTTCAGTACACTTTCATTCAATTTTGTTCAATGCGAGATCATTAACCGAAGCTAGGTGAGGAGTCTACACACATAAATAGTGAGTTCTACATGAGTACTACACAATGGGTGATCTACTATTGTGTAAAATTGTGTGAAAAAAGTAATAAAAATGATCTCAATCTTATGAGTCATACAACAATTATTGATATCGGACGCTGTTTCATAGTTAATGAGGAAGATGATGGCTCGTCGAGGATCTTCTCGGCAGGTAATCCTCGAGGATCTTCACTCCGCACATCTTTTTTATGGAAATTGTCTTACTTAATATAGATTTGATGAGAGAGATCACGAGTGGAGTGTTGTAAGGAATTATATAGTAACTCACGTTACTTTCCCAGTATATATATATTCATCAAATGGTATTTTTATAGGCTTGTCATGCATTCTCTTTAATAAGCTTTCCTCGACTCAGTATCTGTGGAATTGAAATGAGATATGATTTTTGTTTTGTCATAGAGTGTTTAAGATTGCGTTGACTATTTCCTCAAATTCAGAAGTAGTTATCATGACTTGAGTTAGGATAGAGCATGTTTCTAAAGAATAAGAGTGACTAACCTTTAAGGGTATAAAAAAAGATTAAATCTAAGTCCTCTAAATTATCAAAAGTCATACTCAACTACTAAACCACTTATAAAGGTTAAATGATGTGGAATTTGACGAAGCTGAGTTGACGACTATTATGCAATTATTTTGAGAAACTTTTTTGCATCATTCATGCCAAAAGAAAATACTAAACCATATTATTTTTTTTTTTTGTTTTTTGCCATTTGTACATGTTGTCTTAGTTTAGGATTCAAATTAACCTTTGAATTTTTGTTGAATCTATTGGCATTGGAAGGTGCATAACCAAAAAACCGGATCCTAGAATGTAATTAAATTGGAGGTAGTATCACCATACGGGTAACCAAGCCTTCCTGATGAGATTTAGATTTACTCTAATATGTTTTTTTTTCTTAATTTTGTTTAATTGTAATTTTCTTATCTTGTATTTGAGACTCTTGTATATAATAAATTTTATTTAAACTTAAAATGTATATTGTACCATTAAGAAAGAACATATTGTAATACTCCGATCCCAAATCCTTAATTATGTG